GCATGTACGCCTCAGGGCAGATGGCGCGTGCGTGCACGCGCACGCACACACACACACACGCACACACAGAGTGCACGTTTTTGGAGCTGAAGCTCACTTCAGATGCTGTCACAGATGTGATCTACTCTGGTTAGTCTACAAGGTAAAAATCCACCCAGCTTTCTACTTTATTTCAGGACTAGCATGGTTAATTAAATCTCTCTCTAGGAACCAGAACAGCTCTTCTCTCGTTTTTCTTAATATGAAAAGATCCAAAAACACTTTAGTCTATTTCTAGATTTTAAATGGTTCTACCTCTTGAGTGAATGCTTGGAGTTCAAATGGAATTTCTCCATTTGGTAGAGAAAGGATGGTACTGTAGGAAAAAAAGATATCGAATTGAGACTCAAGAGATCTGCATTTAATTCCCAGCTCTGCTAGGTATTTCCTGTCTGACCTTGAATTCTCTCTCTGAGAATTAATTCCTCCTGTGTAATGTGAGGATCATACTACTTTCTACGTCGTAGAGCACTGTGAAGATAAGTTCATTAGTTTGGTGCAATCAGATGTCACAATGAGAAGGAGCCACACAGATTACCTACAAAGACTGAGAGCATTTTAGCACTAATATCTGCATTACTTAAGGTCACCAACGTTAACACTGGTGCTTTAAAGAGCAACCAGTTCATTTTACAGTACTTTCTTTCAGACAAATATCAGCCCTTTAATTCACTAAAAAATGTTCCATCAATACCAGTGCTCACAGCAGCCCTTCACTGAAGCCAGAACAAGGTACTTTCAGGTTAAGGGAAGGTACTGTATGTCCATGCATCTGTACAGAGCGGTTCAAGAAGTCCTACAGCACTGTGTTATACTAGATAGTTTTCAGGCACAAATAGATATTTTTTCAGCTCAGTCGCACAATGAGTTAATGTGCTGTTTGCCAGAAGCATGCACCTTTTTGAGCATTCTGCTTTTCATCTAAAATTGGCAATTTTGCATTTTGATTCTGAACTATAGATGCCACTTTACACCTAACCACTGCTAACTATTTCTGTAATCTTACTGGGACTGATGCTATCAGCAAACAATGAGATTTCTTTTGCCCAAGGGAGTTAGAAAAGATCTATTCTGTTGAACTTTAAAAGGCAAAACTAGCAAAGGGCAAGCCTCTAGGGAAGTAAAATTGGATGACAACAACATCTAGTGTCAGCTTCCTTGGACAAGGAAATCACCTCAACTCCAAATCAGCAGAGGGCAGGTGGTTATATCAGAGAAATTCCCATTATCAATTCATTGGAGATGAGTTTCATAAGAACTGCTCTTCTGAGACTGAATCATTTACAACTAATACGCATCAGGACTGACAACATGGCAGTGACTGCTTGAACAAACTAATAGATGGGATCTCTCTCTGTTACCTACCATTGGAATCCCAACAATTTTTCTAATGACCAAAATAAACACCACTGTTAGTAAAGTAGATTTATCTGAAAGATCTAGCTATACTGATGCACAGCCTTCCAGGAGAAAATGGAGACATTTCAGGCAATCAGAATTTCTTTAGGTGTGCTATTAAAGGAGATTTCCATTTCAGTACTACTCTGTGCAAAAGGCCAAAAGACCAGTCAAAGATTACCCAGCGGAGTCAAAGAAAAAAACAGGCAGGAATCAACAGATGCATTCTTCATCCCCAGGACTCCTAATTTATTCTTTGGTTTTCCATGCTTGCCTCTAATTCCTAATGCTCTCATCAAGGTAAAATGGTTAAATGCTAAGTTGTCTGAACAAGACAGTCTTAGACATATTGCCTTAACCCAAATGGTCTTAGACTTTAAAAGTAATATACATCAATCCTTCAGCCTTTCTTCGCTCGGTTAGAGACTTTCCATACCAGGGATCCTGCTCAAACTGATATTACCTAATCTGCCCCCATAGTGTAAATCTGTTAACTATGAAATCACTTATTTACACCTCAAACTGTAGGCAATTTATAGCATAATTCACATATCAGTGCAATTTAAAATTACTTTCTAATCATAATTTATCAGACAGCATTGGCTATTATCAGTATCTACTCAGACTATTAATTCTGAGTCAGAAATATCTCAGTTTTAGTCTCTGTTCTGTCACTTGCCAGCTCTTGGACTCTGATTTACCATTTGTGTCCTAGTTTACCCATTTATAAAATTGAAATAGTCCCCAGCTGTCTTGTGCTAGATGTAGTCATGGAAATCTTGGAGAAGTTCTATTTATTATTACTATATAAACTGACCTAAATGCTAAACAAGCATTTTAGCTTATTAGCTAGATGCCCCATAATATTATAAAGGAAAAATTTAAGTTCCAATATTACACTGTAAATGTGACATTCATTTAAAACAAAACAAACATCAATCTTGTGCCCTTCCAGACAGAAAATCAATCCATTATGAAAAGATAAAAAGTACTCTCACAGCTTTCAAAATCAAGAAACAAATAAGTAATCTAATGAACTTTGAACCTGTTGTAAATGCTGATTAAAATTAAGAAAATGTAAATATTTGTATAAATCACCTTCTAAAAACATCTGATAATTAACAATTTTAAAATTATTAAAAAAAAACAAAATAAAGAAAGCTATCTAAGGTGGTTGATTTGTAACAGTTTATGCTTAAATCATGTAAGAGGCCGCGTTGATAATCTACAGTCAATGGGAAATGTTCCATCCATTGGAGCTACAGAATTTTCCATTACTGGTTATGGAGTTGGTTATTTTTTTGTACACTGGCCATAGATTAAGAATAACATTCCTTCCTAAATAGCTTGGAACCATATATTGCTACCTGGGGCTCTAATCTAGTTATCTGAATATTTCATGAAAAAAATCAGGAAGTATTATAAGCCAGAAAAAACAGTGACTGATGTAAGTGAATATTTACTTATGGACTGCATTATACAACATATCCATGTAGTAAGGAGTTGATACACCACAGCATAAAACCAATGATGTGGCTGTGACATCTGTGTAAAACATCTATTATTTTATAAGACTTGAATACATTTATATTTTTTCCAACTGTATATTATTCTGTAATAATCTGCTGATTCCAAGAATTGCTGATACTCTACAGCTACAAATAGAGCAGATGACAACGGTAACCATCAAAGCAGACTTAAACATTAAATCTCTGCTGTTTTGAACATGTACACAAGCCTTTCAATATTAATTTTACATTGTTTTTAAATATAAACAGTTGAATACGAATATTTGAATATTAAAAAATGAATGAAAAAATTAATCACTTAAATATGTGACCTGATAGACTTCGTTTGAACCATCCTGGTACTAAGGAGTTTGGAAAATCAGAATACTTCAGTACCTTAACACGGACTTGGAAGCTTAAAAAAAAATTAAGCTCTGATGTTTTTTAACATTTTGTCTAAAATTTCTTTTCCCATTTTCTTCCCTGTTTGCAAACATACTTTTATTGTTTTTTTCCAGATGAATGTAAAGGCTAATTTGTTTCTTTCCCTAAAAGTGCCTATTACTGACTACATGTGTGTGTGAGAATGTACGTTAATTAACTCTTCCAGTTACAAGTTGGGTGCAACTCTCCAGTAGAGGGAGATATTCTCTTTATAGTTTCCCAGCAATTAAAGAATTATAACAATTTTACCCCTAATTCCATCCTAATAAAAAATAGCCACCCCAAAATAGAAATAAATGTTAAGCCTCGGGAATAATATTCTGTTATGGGTAATTTTAAATGGATGATATTTTATACATAAGTTCACAGTGTGTATACTGATGGATAAGCTTATATAGCAAGAACTGTGTAGTAATAGTTACAGTAGATTATACTATGACTTCTTCCATAAAAATAATTAACAGAAAGGTTCCATTCGGTTCTAAAGATATGAATGCCTTCAAAAAGTGAAACTTGCTCCATCCACAGAACTAAGTCATTCCTTAGTTGCTTTTGGCAACACACAAAAAAGAAAAAAAGTGTTTCAGTATAAGAGTACATATTATTAAATAAATCTAAGAGTCTGTTTCCCATGAAACATTTATTCCGTTTTAAAATAATCTAAAACAGAACAAAGCATATGCAAATGCTCTGATCCAATCAGTATTAAATACATATTAACCACGAAACAAATCTCTAAGTTTTAAGTTAGTCTAAAACTAAATAAAAACAAAAAGTTTCAAAACTTTTTGGGGGGAGATACTCTAAGAATAAAGTCAGGTTCCTTTTCCCCTTCAAATTTTTCTAAAATCTGGAAGAAATTTCAATAATCTTCCCAGGAGGCATTGTTCATTTTTTAAGTAGAGAATGTTTTATGTGATACATGGATTGCAGCAGGAATTCCAGTAGTTAATGACTGGATAAGCAAATGTTAGAACTAACAGCTAGCTCTCTTATAGTTCCTTGTATCATTAGATCTAATACCTTAGGAAGCAAAGTATCTTTAGTCTCATTTTACAGATGAGAAATTGAGGCACAGGAAAAGTATCTGACTTTTTACCAGTAGATTACTGGCAGAGTGAGAAACAGAACTCAGTCTTCTAAGTCCCAGTCCCTTGTTCAAACTATCAAAAACTGTTGACCATCTTGACTTGTAGCTGTTGACAAAGGGTAACTTCTACCTCATTATAACAGAGCTGAGACTTCAACTAACAATTAACTATTTTGATCTGAAGTGTTTTAAAATACTCCAGATACACCTCCTTCATACATACTGTTGACAGAGACTCACCTGTAAATATAATTCCAAACCTTGTCGCCGCTGCTCCAGGACCTTAGGGACCCAGTTCCTTACATGCTTTGAAGGGATTTCTGGAGTTCTGATAAACTTCTTGAGCTTCGGGTAAACAACAAAACACAAATGAAAAAAATTAACATGTAAACACTCTAGTACTGTAACAGCATTCATACTGAAGGTAAGAGCAAGTAAGAAAAAACAGCCCATCACATTTTCTAATTATTTAATAAAAACCTTACAGAGGATTAATTAGTTGACTTTATTATATCTCTCCAAATATACAGACTGCAGAACAAAAGTGAGCTTAATTGTTAGCTGAACTGACCTACTGGAGAAGAGGAATCCAAGTGATAAACCTATGGAACAAAGGCACTAAAACAGTGATAGCTCAACCTTCTGGCCCCAGTGGACTGGATGAGTGGCATGGGGCCAATCTACTGGCTGGATCCTATAAGGGGTACCTGGCCTAGGCCCACATGCTTGATATAGCCCTTTATGCCAGATCTGGCTATGCAATGCAGTGACCCTGTGTGCCTGCCCAGTGGTACGTTGGTGCAATCTAGAACACAGGACCATATCATCCAGCCTGTGGGATCCAGAAATTCAACATCAGGGGAGCTGCCATTAATGTTCCCCTGCTGCCAAATTTTTGGATCCATGGGGAGACCACAGGCTAGATGACACAGCTCCTCAGCCTAGATTTGGCCTGTGGACCAGAGGTTGAACGCCCCTGCTCTGAAATAAATGGCAGCAGTTAGGTGATTTTAATACTTCAGCACTCCCTCAAATCATCACTTACATGTTCTGGCAAAATGGTTATTTGAATATTGCTTAGTGGAACCTAGAGTCTATACTCCTTACCAATCCTTTAACAAAGCTCTTAGTCATAACCTGTTCTGAACACTGCCTCACTTAGGGGCAGGATCCTGTAAGGTCCTTAGTATTCTCCAAGTCCCACTGATTGGCACCTTATAAAGTCAGGCCCTAAGAAGTCTGCAAATTACTACACAGGTGGACAACCTAGTGGACAGGGCACTAAACTGGGACTTGAGATGTGAATTCCTGACCCTGGTACAGAGTTCTTGTCTGATTTTGGGAAAGTCAGAGCATGTCTACACAGCCTCCTTGTCAAGAGTAGCACCACCACTTAGCAACACACACGGTGGCTTTAAAAGGAGTGGGCAGCAGCTGTTATTCTGTAACTGTTATGTGTGCATGAGCCTGTAGCAATAAAAGCATAACCAAACCGCATCAACTTTGACCTTGCTTCATCTTGCTTCTGCAGCAGTTGCCTCTCCTTTTTTGAAGCCACTCAAAGTACACGTTCATCCATACCCCAGACCTGACAATCAGGCAGAGCTGATAGCTTAGAGGGGTCTTAAGAGCTGTGATTGGATGGATTCTTTAAGTCATCCACTCTGCCTAATAGCCAGGCTTGAACAAAGCATTATTTTTAGCAATGGTTCAAGGCTTGACAGGCAAGCGTTACAGACATGGCCTTGCTTAACCTACCACTATTTCAGGCTGTGGATTCACAGATGTTTAAGGTGTTGATAGACACAATTCTTAAACCATTTAAAATGCTGTTTGGACCATAAGTGACTGGACGTACAAGTCAGTTTAGAATAGTTAAATCTACTAGAATGTTTCAAAAGTATACCTGGATTATTGGCATTATTGTCAAACAGTCTTTCTTGAACCAGTTCCATGTTACATGCACACACTAAACCATCTCAGCATGTTTACACATGCTCCAGAGGTGGAGGGAAGGGTCTAATTAAAGCATCTGCCATGCCTTGTGTATTCAGAGTCCCATGCTTCAAAATGGTGGTGGGGGCACTAACTAAAACTCATCAACCAAGCTTTAGTTAAAGCACCCCCCCACTATCATTTTGAAGCACTGGGATGATGAATACACTAGATACTGAGGCTGCTGGAGCATGCCAATTAGTACACTCCAGCAGACTTGGTTAGTCAAGTCTGTTCCAGCACACTATACTTTCAGTGCAACTGTTGGACCAGGCATGCCGCAGGTCTACAGGCACAATCTGTGACTAGTCAGTCCTCCAGGCATCCCACAGTGCACTTCTCCTACTCTCTCTGCAACCCCTACCTAGCAACTGGTTACTCTAGTATGCAGCCTGTACTGCCTGCATGTAACCCAGTCCATGCTGTCCCAGGCTGATTTGGATTTGGAGGGACAGGATGGTCAGATGCATAGGAGGGGTAACACTATTTCTGGGTTTCTGAGGTGCTGGGTGCTCTGGGGAGCTACCCAATGCCTCTGTAGCTTTTAAACAACACTTCCCCCAACCTGCTTGTCAGTTTCATTCCATGGGTGGCAACTGACCAAGCTTCAGGGCATCCTGCCAGGCTGATCTGAGCTGAGGAGGGGGTAGCAGCTACATGGCTAGAAGGGGTACTCCTACTTCTGCATTTCTGGGGGACTGCCCAAGGTCTCTGCAGCTTTTAAACTGTACTTTCCCCCAAGCCAATAGTGTCAATTTTATCCCATTCCCAGCAACTGACTTAGAAACAGAAGCAGCCAACTTGGCCATCTTGCCCTTCCACTCAAAATTAGCCTGGGATACCCCAAAGCCTGGTCATTGCTATGAATTAAACTGATGATCAGCTTGGGGGAAAATGATGTTTAAAAGTGGTGATGTGTGCAGCACCCAGAATATCCAGCTCCCTGGGAACTCAGAAGCAGGGTCCAGGCACCTTCCCACCCCAAGGGAAAGTCTTCCTAAGGCAGTAGCCTGAGCCAGAGACCCTGGACAGCCCCCTGGATCATTCAGCCCCCTACGAAGGGAGGAGCAGGGGTCCAAGCACCTCTCAACTATCTGGCCACTGCTTCACCCCCAAATCAGGCTGTGATGCGCTGAGCCCTGGAAGGAATGTTAAAAAAACATTGTTTTTGTATCCACCACCCTCAATTCCCCATTTGTAAAACTTCACTGGGGTTTTGTGAGGTGCTCAGATATTGCCACAGCAAAAACAGATAAGGAAACAAACTGACTGCCACTAAAGTAAAATTTTTAGAATAAATTTACAGACTTGGGCGGGGAGGGGGAAGGGGGATAAATAACTAACTGGTTTTCCAGAGAGCAGACAAACGAAAGTAATGGAGGAAAAAAGCAGATAGACTTTAAGTAGAACATAATGTGCAATAAATTATAAAAAGGGAGTAGCAACACTGCTATACAAGCTATCCCTAAGCATATTTCTAACATAATTTCTATAAAATACCCATGCAGCAGAGATCAGAAGTGCAACAAAAGTCATAGCAGATAGTAGCAGAATTTCTTCCACAGGAAAATATATAAAATACCCTTTTCCAATAACAACCAAAATACTTACATTTTTTTCTCAGTACTAAAAAAGCAAAACAACAACTGGAATGGATTCCATTGCATTTTAATAGGAGGTTACATTAGACACTCTTTGTGCTGGATATCGCCTCTCAGTAAATGTGAAGACAGAAAGACAAGGAAAGAAACTCAAAATTGACTTTGACATGCATGCCCACAGGGGTTTAAGAATTTACATTTCATTTTTGAGCTTCCTGAGATGTCACTATAGTAAAAAGCAGTGCCAGCATATCAACATCTTGGTGATCATAAAGTTATGAAGTTTCTACAAGAGAATCTCAATCACTATAGAAATATTTTGCAATTAGCTTATTTCATAAACATAGCAGGTCACAATTAAATGTTTCCTGGTTCTACCAGACTACTACCAAGTGATCTTAAAGTCACAGTATAAAACCCCATTTTTTCCTTTAAATTTGCCAAGAATTCAAAGATGCTATCATCATAGCTGTTGGGATCCATGACAGCTCTTGTAGGTGAGTAATGAATTGCTCTAGATGAAGAGAGACAAACCTGAAACAATACAAGCTTCCAGTAGGGCTTAGCTGCTTACAAGATAAATACTCTACAGCTGACACTTCAACTGATGATTAACAATTCTTGTTGCTCTCTCACCCTGTTATACAACCAATGCAATCAACAAAGACAGGTAAGTGTGTACCACAACTGTGTATGTATGTACCTATTGCAGTGGTCTCCAAACTTTTTTGATCGCGCACCCCTATTAGTAAAAAATTTTTGAGCACACCCCCCCAACATATGTATATTTATTTATTTATAAATTATATACATGTACTACTCGTGTACCGTGCGCGACATGTGACCTTCTGACATACGGACTGAGTGAGGGCGCCAGTGTCAATCCATATATTAAATATTAATAAAGCTTAATTTCTTTCTTATTTTTTTTAGTTAAAAAATAAATATAAATAGAAGTTCTAATATTTTCTTCCCGCACCCCAGTGGATCATCTTGCGCACCCCCTAGGGTGCGTGCACCCCACTCTGGAGACCACTGGCCTATTGCATATAAGTACAGAAACCTAAATCATTACAACATATTCATATTTTATTAAATTATCCTTATATTAATATGCAAATGAATATTATATAAGATCTATGTTTGTATGTTACTCAAGTAGTCCCTAAAACTGTTAGATAATGTCCGAAGCCAAATGTATACATTTAATGATTTTTTATCTGAGGATAATTTTTAAATATTTTAACTGACTTCAGGACTGTTTGATTTTTCCTTTATTAAATATATCAGTTTCTGTGGCAGTCATGAAAGACAGGTCAAATTATAAAAGTAAATAATCACTTTCCAATGTGTGATGGGACAAGAGAATTATACAAAATATTTTTTTAAATCAGTCTGAATTTATAAATACACTTACCAGTTGACACTGCCAGTTGGAATTTTAAGTATTTTTCAGGACACAAGATTAATAACAATGTCATGCATTTCTAACCTCTTTGGTACCCAAACCAATGAAGCCAAATATTCTAAAGAATAAATACTATATTTTCTTGTATGCCAGATGACCTCAAAGAAGACATGCACCTTATTTTTGGGCATATATATTTTTTCTAGGACTACAGTTGCAGAAAGCAAGGACAGAGCCTAATCTTCAGCTTACTTTCTCTTTCCTGCCCAAACAACCTGTAACTCTAGTTGCATTTAAAGACTGGTCTCCATGGATAAATCTATGAATTTGAAAAGAGAAAA